TCCCACTATCATGTTTGGCCTTCATTCAAGTTTCAATAATTCCACTCAGTTACATTGCCCTTGATCAAGCCCTGCCAGGCATCCAATGCCCTCCTCGCCATTGATTTTAGATCTCTTGTTGTTCCCTGGTCTCTGGATTTGTTAACACCCACTTCCTTTCCCAGCCTCCCCTCTCCCATCCCCCTACCCCCACTCCCCGGAACTGTTGGTCCTATTTTCTTTTTTTGTTTGTTTGTTGGTTTTTTTGATCCTGTTGTTTTCTCCTTCGGATTGTTTCTCCTCAAATCTCGATTTTACAGGTACTCTTCTAGCTGCCTCGGGGCACTGAGAGAACAGAGGTCTGCCTCCAGATTCCTGCTGCTCTGGTTGGGCCAGTCTCTCTCTCTCTCTCTCTCTCTGTCTCTCTGTCTCTCTGTCTCTGTGTGTGTGTGTGTTTTCTAATATGTAAAATGAGAATAACAATACTGTCTTGCTGTAAAAATTAAATTAGCTAATATATGTTATATGTTAACATATGATATATGTTAATAGAGTGCTCACTTTGCCATTGTGCTGATTGTGACTCAGAGCAATGCTGTGGGACAAAGGAGAACTCCTACAATCTTTAGAGAACTAGACTGTCATATCTTTCTCTCTGGAAGCACCTGGAAGGTTTGAACCACCGACCTTTGAGTTAGCAGCAAGCATTTATACACTGCACCACGAGGGATCCTCTAGAACACACTTAGCAGGGTAGAACTTGCTGTTACAGAAGCAGACGTGACAGTAGTGGCCAGGCTCTGTGTAGAAAATTTAGTAGAATTCATCTAGGGGATGGGGGTGGGGGTGGGAAAGCTATATGTAGGTTTTAATCAAGGGGTAGGGTAAGCAAAATTTTCATTCAGAATGCAACTTTAAAAAATTAGATTGTGGACGCCTTTCATGAAAATTGAGGGCAGGGGTGGGGGGAGAAAAGAAGAAGAAAGAACGTGGAGGGAATGTATATCCCAAGACTTAATAGCAATACTAGTGAAAAAATATATGGTCAAGCGGCCTGGTGTCATTTCGGTTTTTTCCCAGGTTCACTGTGTGTCAGATCCTGCACTAGATCTTTGGTATCTTTAGCCCAGTCAGCCTTCACAACACATCTCTGAGGAAGATGCTGCTCCAGGGTACAGACAGGGCTCAGAGAGGCTCAGCATCTGCTCCAGGGTGCAGAGCTGGGGTTACAAGCTCCAGCAGCCCTCTCAGGAGGAGCGTGCCGTGGCCGCCACGCGGCCTGGCTTCCACCATCATCAGCATGTGCAGGGAACCTTTTCTGAACACGTGAATAAGTGGAGAAATGAGTCTTGTCTGTGACCATCGCAGCTCTTGCCACAGTGTGTGTGCAATGTTGTCGCCACCCCCAACAGGACTCCCCACAAATCCCCAACAGGACTTTGCTTAGAACTGGGCAAAATTGTTTCACAGCAGGTAAGACAAATCCAAATTATATGGGCAAAGGAAACATCATAAAGGGCAACTGCCATCCAGCAGTGAAATGTGGGAATTAGGATCCCGGGCCCCGGGGTGAGAGACCTGGGTTCAAATCCCGGCACAAATACGTTATCAGCTCTTGGTTTGGGTAGGCCATCTAAATGTTAGTTTGCTCACGAGATGATTATGCCTGACTTGCAGGAGGGGGCGGATAAAGAACAGAGCAGCTGGCGTGGCACGTAGCGAGCCCTCAGTAAATGACAGCTACTGAGAGCGGTGGCACAGCTGTGTCCTGGGCTGCTAAAGGAAGGGTCTCTCTGGTCAGAAACCCGGCCACCTGACAGCCTGCATAACTTCTCAGGACAGTTCTACCCTATCACATGGGGTCACCAAAAGTCCGTGGCACATAACAACGACAACAACTGTAGTATGAGATCAAAAGGGGGGGCTTTTGCACACGTGGAGGCATGTGAGCATCATTCCTACGCGGGCTGCCTCCAAGGCCTCCTCTTTTTCCTCTCCTTGGCTTGCTTCTTTGCCTCTGCTTGGCACCTCCAGGAAGGGCAGTTTGAATGGAGCGACGGTTCGTCCTATGACTACAGCTACTGGGACGGGAGCCAACCGGATGATGGCATCCACGCGAGCCCACAGGAGGAGGACTGCGTGCAGATCTGGTACCGGCCCGCCAGTGGTGGGTGCCCCGGAGTTTCAGACGCCCTGACAACGAACACGTTGTTCAGCACCTTGGAGAGTGGTCAGAGGTTGCTGGGCAGGGGGTGGCTCTTCTCTACAGGGGTTGTTCTGAACAAGATTTAATGGTAGTGCATTGACATAAGGAGTTGTAAGGTCTTGATTAGTAAGCTCTATTTTTCTACTTCAGATTTCTCTACTTGATCTCGCTGGGTTCTAATGTCCATGGCAATGGCTACATGGAAACGCACAGACAAAATTTATGATGAAAATACTGTTAACAAGTTGTAAAGCCAATGAGAAATGCTCAGTGTAGTTATTTACCAGGACATGTGACAACATTTCAGGTCTGCTAATAAATGCCCAAAGGGTCATATCGCTCTGTTGTAAGCCTCAACCGGAAGGCAGTCAGCTCAAGCTCCGTGATCAGCAAACCCAGCTCCCTGAATTAAGTGCCCAGAGCACCCCACTCCAGTAAGTCTCAGACCAAAGGCACTCAGCTCCACTTCCTTGGGTTGGCAAGTCCAACTTCCCCAATTAAGTGCCCACCAGCCAGCCTCCTGCACACAAGCACTCAGCTTCACTTGCTCCGTGGGTTGGGAAGTCCATCACTCTGTTCCATGCTCTGGCTCCTGGTTCAGCTGCTGCTCCTCTGATGGTGTAGCTGTCTTCTGGATCCAGGAGGTCCACTGCACATAGAGCTCAGGTCCTGAGAACATGCTCCACTCCTGGCTCTTGCTGGTGATGAGAACCCTCCTCCTGCTTCTCAGAGGCTCATTTGACACACCATAGGATGGCACTCCAGGGAGCTCACAATTACTCACAGGTGAATCCCATCAGCATCTTCCCCCACCTTCTTCCAGACCCATGCATGGGAAGGTCGTTTGGCCAGAGTTACAGACTTTGGCTGGAAAAGCGACATTACATAGCTCACTGCCCCTGCAGGAATGCTGGTGGCACAATGGCTAAGCATTCAGCTGCTAACCAAACGTTGGTGGTTCAACCCACCCCGGGGCTCTGTGGAGGAAAAGACCTGATTATGTAAAGATGCCAGCCTAGGAAACCTTCTGGGGCCATTCTACTCTGTGGTATGGATTGCTGAGTTAGAATATCCTCAAGGCACCCAACAACAGGTCATTGATATGTGAACTGTGACTCTGAAGATTTATAAGAGGTAGGTGCATAAAAATGAAAAAATTTTAAAAGCCTCCTGTCAAAAACTAGTCAAAGGGTAGTAATTCTCAGTTAGCTCCCTCAAATACCTAAATACCAATGCTCGGCCCACAGCGTTGAGGTGAAGGATAAAGACGAGAGCTCACACAGACGGGGCAGTCCATGGTTAGCGTAGTATCAGCCGTTCCTGTCACCATCATCTGCAACAGCATTGTCCCTCCTCACACCAACCTGAAGAAGCAGAAACAGTGGAGTGGTTTATCTGTAAACCAGTCATTTTGCAGATGAGTAAACTGAAGCTCGGAGAGGTTAAGAGACTTGTTCAAGGTCACACAATAAGCAAGTAGTGGATTGGGGCATTACAGAACTCCAGGCCCAAGCATGACTGGTCATTCCCTTTTGGTGTCTTGGTCTTGTTCCACCTGGGGAGGGAGAAATGGAGCAGTCACTTACTCTGGGAGCCTACCTGGAGCCTGGGAGCCTACCTGGAGCCAAGACTCCTATCACGAGACCCTAAGGCCGGACAGCAACCCTGCCAAGTGCCAGCTGCCCATGTGGACAAGGCCTCCTGGGAAGGCGTGTGGTCCAGTAGTGGGGAGTGACCTTTAGTATGGTGGGTGAACCTTCACTCAGATTCTCACTTGTTTTTTGCCCTCTGCAGCTCTGAGGACATGGAATGATAACTCCTGCAGCCGAGCGTTCCCCTTTGTCTGCAAGATCCCATCTCTGACCAGCCACTGATCCAGTCTGGGCCCCTGGGGGGAACCGAAGTCCAGTCCTATCTTGTAGTTGTCCCTGGGGGCAGAGCTGACACTCAATAAACTCGGAAAACACGGAGAGGGTCGGTCTTCCAAAGATTTCATTTTCTTTTTTGAACTTGGTACTTCAACTTGAGCGATGACTTCCTGAGAAAATCACTTCTCCATCCAACAGGTCGTACTCATTTTGTTTCCCTTCATTGGTTGCCATCCGGACGATGTAGCGTCGCCTGGCCCACATCCTCCCTGCGTTTCCGCCCACACGCCCTCTGAACTTCTCCCTTGGACAAATGCTGCTCTGTTGATCTCACGCAGGCAAGGATTCTGAGGTGGGCGTAGCTCATGTACACCACTGGTGGTGTTCCCTGTACGGACTTGTCTGCAGTTTGGCTGAAAACTGATCTGCTGCAGTAAGTTCAGTTTCAATCCCGAAGGGTGGCGAAAGGCCATAGTCTCAGAGGCTCCACCAGTCTCGATCTGACCACTCGAAGCGACAGAGGGGCCACGTGGTCACAGATGATAAGAAACTGCCTTAGTAAATTAAAAAAATGGGTCTGGGTGGGTTGAATGGCTCAAGGAATAGAAATCCAGGGTTGCTATGGTTTCAGGATTGAGCGTCGTGGGTTCCAGGGCCATTCCTGAAGTGATCCCTTGGCCATGCTGATGGGCGAGGCCCAGCACAGGTGTGCATCTCTGGGGAAAGCTAGAGCCCTCTGAGCCACAGGAGCCAGAGGAAGAGGGAAAACCAACTCGTTGTAAGAAGAAAGAACAGACACCAGGCAGGAAAAATAAAACCCAGTGCTGTCGATTCAATTCCAAATCGCAGTGGTCCTGCAGGACAGAGTAGCACAGCCCCCTCGGGGAGTTCCAAGGTTGCAGTCTTGACAGAAGCAGACCGCCGCTTCTTTCTCCAGTGGGACAGCTGGTGGGTTCGTGGGTTTGAGCCGCCAACCTTTGATCAGCAGCCAAGCTCTTTCATCGCTGCACTCCAGGGCTCTCGATGGAAAACGGATGAAATTGTATTCATGGCAAGAGCACTGAACGTCTCCCAGGGAGTCCTGCGGCTTGGATTCTCGATCTCCTTCTCTGGGCTGTGTTTCTGCTCCGGTCTGGCCTGGGAGAGGGAGGGGCGAAAAAAAAGTCCATGTTGGTTCCAACTCATAACCACCCAATGTAGAACCGGATAAAACAGAGTCTGGCCCTGCGATGTTCTCACAACTGCGGTTGTGTTTGAACGCATTGCTGCCGCCACTGTTAGTCCATCTCGTGGAGGGTCTTCCTCTAGTTTGCTGACCCTCTACTTTCCCAAGTCTGGGGTCCTCTTGCAGGGACTGGTCTTTCCTGATAACATTCCAAAATATGGGAGGCAAAGTCTCCATAACCTCTCATCTAAGGGGTGTTCTAGCTGTACGTCCTCGAAGAGATTTGCTTGTTCAGACAGTAAGGAAATAATTGGCCCTGGCACCCAAGAATTGAAAACAATGGCTTCTAATGACCCTACATTCTCAGGTGAGCAATGAATAAGCGAGGCCTGTTAACCTTTCGCTGGAGTTTACGTTAGGGCCTACTGCCCTGTCCATCCAAGGAGATTCCAAGACAGGCGCCTTTGGTCATTTGGAGAGCCTAGTGTTTCCCGTGAAGGGTCCTTTCATCTTCCTTTCCCATGGAGAGGGGAGGCCCTCACCCCAGCCCCAGAGCCAAGCACCAAGACATTGCTTGTAGAGGTAGGTGGGTGGGGTACGCCAGAAAGGGAGCTGGGCCCTCACTGTCCAGCAGGAGACTGCTGGGCCATGGCGATTGCTGGTCCCCTCTGGCTTCTGCAGGAACAAGAGGGACTTGTGGAGCATCCACGTGGCATGTTTCTGGGTGTTTGAAGCCATCTGGGACAGATTCTTATTCCCACTGAGACCTTGAGGGAGGAGGCTGCTGCGGTCACCCAAAGCAGAGAGGGAGAAGGGACTGTGGGCAGTGGGTTTGCGGGGGAAGAAGAAGATGTGAAGCCGAGGCTGGAAAGGTTCCCCTGGTCCACAGGAAGAAGCACAGAGGGTCCAGTCCCTCCTCTGTGCCTCGGTTTCCCAACCTGTACACCGAGGACAGTGATGGCTCCTACCTCAATGGGACAGTGTGTGTTAAGACTTTGAACAGAGCCTCTACTTCCACCAGAAAAACGAAACATGTGGCTGTCAAGTCAATTGCCACTCATGGTGCTGAGTAGAACGGGGTTTCACAGCTTTTATTTTCTAGCCTTTCTTTACAGCGGTACATCGCCAGGTCTTTCTTCTGTGGCTCTTCTGGGGGGGGTTCAAACGGTGCACCTTTCAGTTAGCAGTTGAGCACAAGCTGTTTGTGCCACCCAGGAACCTAGGAAATCGTACGTAGGTTAGGTTGTCATGATCATTGTATTATGGGTTGCCGGTTCTTGCCACCAAAAATGCTATGTCACAAGCCGCCCAAAACACATTTGGCTTACAACAACCATCCCTTAGAGCTTAGGAGCCTGTGGGCCGGCTGGGCTTTGGCTGATCAAAGCTGAGCAGCTGTGTTTCAAACTACTGTGCCAAGACAGCTCTCCTGCTCACTGCAGCTCCCTGGGTTAGTGAGGTGGCTCTGCTTCCCTTTCCGTGGGCGACAGGGCCAGATAGAGCTTGTCTTTCTCGTGGTGAAGGCACAGGAGGGCAAGACCTGACCTCAAAGCTGGCACATACTCAGTTCTACCCATATGCTGTTGACCCAAACTAGTCACATGGCCAGGGCAAAGTCAAGGGGTGGATGTGGTAGGCCAGGTTGCCTAGAGAAACAAATCCAGTGACACGCATATGTATAAGAAAGCGCTTTCTATCAAGAAGCAATTGAATAACGAGAAGGCATCCCAGCCCAGTCCAACTCAAGTCCGTGAGTCTAATCCTAGCCCATAAGACCCTCTGAAGATTCACGTAGAATGGTGAAGCAGGAAGATCACAGGCCAGTGGGTGGTGCAGAGTCCTGTGGGCCTAAGGCTTCTGGAAACAAGCAGCAGCTCTCAGGGTTGACGGCAGAGTCCCTGCAAGCACAAAGGGGACAGAGAGCAGTTCCCAGTGTCTCACACTCTGATACCAGAAGGCCATCAAAGAGGGGTCATGAGGCTGTGAGTTGATTGGCAGGTTGATGCCACCCCTAGCCGGGAGTGTCTAGTTGGCATAAAAGCCTCTAAGTACCACAGTGGGGAGTGCACCTTGTGCCCTCTAAGGACGCCATGGCAACGGCATGGGTGCAGGAAGGGCTGAACAGTCGTTAAATGTAACACGATTATTGTCAGACAAAGAGGCAGGACCTCTAGGCTTCCCCGGTGGCCACTTTGTGCAGAGTGGGATTGAAGTCACAGACCGCTAGCAGAGTCATTGGGGGACCACACTGCCTCTGTGTGAGGGGGATCTTCAGTGGTAGAGGAGGTCTGGTGGAAAGCGAAGGATGTCCAAGAGCAGTACATGCACCCTCTCTGCCGGAGACCAAACCATTGTCAGGGGTCACAAACTATAAATGGACCCAGATGCATCTGGAGGGAGACCGGGGACTCTTTAAAGACCACAGGGGTGTGAGTTCAGTAGGAAGGCATCTGCCCTCTTTATTCCCTGCCCAGCTCCCAACCAGAGGAGGCAGGCCTTGAAAGAGCAGACAGAGGGGAGAGGGGGATCCGTGCCCCAGAACCAGGTCATCTCTCCTATTCTGCTCTGCTCTCGAAGCAAAAAGGGGAAGGCCACACCCACAGCCCAAGCTCCTTGAATGGAAAGTCTGACCCAGGAGCAGAGAAGACGAGATACGTACATCAGTATGCAACTAGAGTTTTAGATAGCATTGATCTGCCCTTTAATTGCCGGGCATGTCCAGAAAGCCATGCCATTGTCTGGAGATGTCATGATGGAACAAAGGTGGCTTTGACATTATTGAAAGCAATGACTTTGGGAAGGAGTCCCTGTCTTTACCCCGCTAGGTTGAGACTGCTCAACACAGAAGGATTGGAACGCCCATGAATGATGCAGACAGGAAGCGAAGTCCAACCGAAAAAGCAGTGTCTATGGAGTCAGAGAGACTGACCTCAACGCTGAGCTCTGCCACGTGCCAATTAGGGAAGCAACTCTCCCGAGAGGACTCTGATTTCCTTATCTGCCTAGCGAGGAGAGGCACCATGTTGTAAAGATCAAACGAGAAGTGGAGTAGAAAACACCTGACAAATAGGAGGAACTTAATGTTCAGGAGCTGTTGCTATTATTAACAGGGATGATTATTGCATCATTTTGTCGCTCCTAAGAGATAAATGCTCTGGTGGCATCCTGGGTAACACATTGGGGTCCTAACTGCACAGCCAGACACACCTCAGGAGAAAGATGAGGCTTTCTACTGCTGTAAGGAAACCCACAGGGGCAGATCCACCCTGTCCTACAGAGTAGCTATACGTTATTACCAACTGGATGGGAGTGAGTTTTTCATCGTCTCTCCCCGCCATCAGGAGAGGCCAGTCCTTGGAAAGGGACATCGTGGCTGATAAAGTAGAGGGGCAGCAGAACAGATGGACACGGTGACTGCAACAATGGGCTCAAACACAAGAACCATCGTGAGGCTGGCGCAGGACCAGGCAGTGTTGTTCCATGCTGTTGTGCACAGGGTTGCTCTGGGTCAGAGCAGACTGGACAGCACCTAACAGCAATGACAATTAGCATTTCCTCACCAAGAAGTGCTTGGCTTAGCCAAGAAGAGCTTAGCAAACGTTAGAAGATTCAGAGAGGCAATTTTCTATCTCTAGAGTTAACCAAACTTTTCGATAAAGAGACACATACAGGTAGTCACTATTAAGTCTATACTTGACGGATGTATATTCAGTCTATACTTAATGTACCCATGTGAGAGATGACAAAACTAAGATGCAAAGTGACAAGAGCTAGCTATGCAGCTAAGCCAGGACGACAGAACCGGAACTCTAAGGTGGTCTGGTATCTAAATCCGCATGTA